TTCTGATATAGCCAAAGTCAGGGCAGCAGGGAGAAACTAAGGACTCAATGTGTTTCCACATAATCCTTTGGAAATCACTTCAGTGACAATTCCTGTGGGAGGGAAACGCACACAAGAGACTGGGCGCCCGGGGTGCTCCAGCCCGCTCCCAGCGAGCAGCCCGGCAGCGCCACGGGGCACGCGGCAGCCCCCAGGAACTGCCACCAGCAGAGCACTGCCCCAGCCCCCCGCGGCGGGCAGGCGGGACGCTCGTCCCGTCCAGCCTTGGCGCCTGCTCCGCCGGCCGTTCCCTCGCTCCACAGCTTCCCTGCAATGCTCTCACTCGCAACAGAGGGAAGCAGCAATCCAGGGAACGGGGGAGGTAGCTTGGGAAAGCGTGCAGCGAGACAGCTCTCCCAAGGGAACACACGCAGAGCACATAAACAGCACGAGTGCCAAGCAGCAACCCCCCTTGTTGGCGTGTTGCATTTGTCCCCCTCTAAAACGAGGTGCATGTCCTGCCTACACTGCCCCCCAGGCCGTGCTTGTCCTTGGGGCTGCAGCCCCCTATGTCGGTCGCGCCAGGCCCGAGTCACCCCCCGCCAAGGGTCACCCCACACAGTCTCGCTCCCCACCGCGTCTCTGCTGCACACTTACAGAAGGGTGAGTCCCTGCTGTGCCCCGAGGCAGAGAGGGCTTAATTTCAATGAACCAGTTTAGGTCTGGCAGGTGCAGAAATCTTCCTGGCGGAGGTTTTGCTTCTGGGTCTCTTCTCAGACCTCGGTGCAGAGAAGAGACATTCTCCAGCAAGGTAGGATTCGTCTCTAAGGCCCTCCCTAGTTCATTTTTAACTTATCTGCGCCCCAGGGTCTGCACTATTTCCTTGCATTGGGATATTTTTTCCTTCCATTAAGCCTTGCCATCAGAATATTTTCCAGACTTCCTTTTCCAGACCTTCCTTCCACCTTCCAKCCAGCCAGAACGGAATCCTTCATCTTTAATTATATAATGTGATTTTAAACTGCATCTCATTTTAAATAACATCAATCAGCAAATTATACAATCATCAGCCTTGCTGCTGGCCTTGGGGAATACTATTTACCAAAAAACTGAGGTTCTTTATCATCTTAGATGCCATGCTATCAGACTCACTATTGCTACTGAGGTAGCTTCATGGTAATTAACTGATCACGGCATCACATATGGGCCTTAGCAATAGCGCCAGCCCAAGCTCTGCTTTATGTATAGAGTTTAGGAGTTTAAGCACAAGAYGATACTAGACTGGCTTTGCAAATGCCCCTCGTGCTTCTGAAAGAGAAAGGGAACTTCCGAAACGCCCTTAAAATATTCACTTTTTTTTTTTTCTTTTGAAAACGAGTGCAGCCACGTGGTTAGAGTGGTGTCACCCATCATGACCACGCAGCACAGGGCGGTGCTGAGGTGCTTGCTCTGCTGAAGGAACGGGCCAGGCTCGTTCTGGAAGTTGCCAGTGTCCTGGGCCAAGGAACCCAGCATGGAACCCGGGTAAGGCCACCARCAGACACCTTGCTGCAGCTCTGGGCTTTTCCTCTTTGCCAAACTGCTGTTTATGTCCTTTCGTTTGTCTCCCTTTTACACGCGGGATGACAAGGGACGGGAGGAAATGACACTTTCACAAGATGGTTATTCTGCCACTAGATCTGTGGGGAAYGAGTCCTCTGCTGCTTTGGCAAACCTTCCTGGAAGAGCATCGGTAGATGCTGTATCTCACCAGCAACCCATAGAAGCAGCAGAACCAGAATATGGATCAACGGTCAGAGGACACTGTCCTGCTTTCGTTTTAACCTCTTTAAGTCACATCAGCCTCTCGTGAACCCGTCCGGTCTCCAGGTGACTCACAGAGAGCACAGAGTGAAAGACCCTGAGCCAGGGGGACTCGTCTGTGCTGAGCCAAACAGATCACTCAGCTAGAGAGCTGCTGCCCTCAGCTTCACAGTCTGAGACTGAAAAGCAGGAAGTTTTTGGGCTTTCAGTATTAGATGACGGTACTGAGTTGAAGTAAGATGATAACACTTGGTGTGGGGATAAAACTAGTAGCCTGGTCGTGGCCAGCACAGGCGTATTTTAGTAAGTGCCCGTCGGAAGGTCCTGGCGTGTCGGGGAGCGGGAAAGGCAGCGAGGAGGGTGGTTTTGCAGGGCGCCGAGCAGAGGAAGCCAGCAGAGCTCTCAAGATGGCTGCAGCCTGGCTGCTCCACAAAATGCCGCCTCTCCTTCTGCTGGAGTTCGGAGAGAAGACGGGCCCTGCAGCGAACGTCAGGGCCTGCTGGATGCTTTCTACGTGGCTTGAGGGAGACCGAGAAACGGCGAATCTTAGGGGATCGTGTGGCTTGCAATAAGTGGCAGGCGATTTAAGCGCGCTGTCTAACACAGGCTGCCCATGCGGTCACGTCAGGGCTCACCATACAGCAGCTAGCACCATTCTGTCCAGGGAAGCAGCTGTTCTGGCAAACAGCAAAGCTTCCAAGAGACTTACAGTGCCTAAAGTGCCTCCTCTGCATTGCCTTTTCTTTGTAATCTGCAGGTTCTTCAGCGCTTACAACCGCCTTTGCTCTTACAGGGCTTGCTGCCTTACAGAGTTGTGCAAATCTGGATCTAAATTGGTTGAGCAAGTACATAAGTGGCTGCACAGAGTGCACGTTTCTGGGGCGCTCCTCGCGGGGGGCAGCTGCGACGAGCAGAGGCCGGAGGCGCAGCCGGGCGCTCGGCGCCGGAGCGTTCCCCGTCCCACGAGGCAGCCGCTCTGCTCGCGAGAGCTCCCCAGGCTGCACTGCCCGCACCGTGGGCCCCAGGCCAGAGGAGCAGGGAGTCTGAGGGCGGCTCTGCCCTTGTGCCTAGGCTAAGGCTYGGGCTAGAGAATTGCCTTCCCCAGAGATCTGCTGCGTGCACTGAGAGATGATTTAAGAACCCTAAGTATAATCCTCAACCTGGAAGGCAGCTTGTCAAGGATATGTCTTTCTGCAGCCTTCTCTTTGGCTGGAGGTGAGCCCTGGTTCCCGCAGCAGCGCTAGCGGCACAGCCCAGCGCAGGGTCCGTGCTGGTTATCTGCAGTGCTCCCCATCACCCGAGCACGCCGTCCCTCACAGGGCCGCCCGTGGGCAGCTCTCCCCAGGTCAGGTTGGGTATTCAGGTTGGGTTCCCCCTCCTGCAGGCTGCTTGCTGCCTGCGCGGGCGCCGAGTCCTGCCACGTTGCCCGAGCGCCGACCGCAGCAGCCGTGCCGCCTGCTGTGCCAGGCCACGTGCTGGCAGCGCTGCAGGGTGGCCTGGCACCTCCGTTCGGAAACGGAGCCTCGTGCGAGCTGGCAGAAGGGGCCGCAAGGCCCGGGTGCCACAGGAGAGCCGCGCGCCCTCCCTCTGCTGCTGCTCCTGGTGACGGCAGGCCTGGGCACGCAGCCTTGGCAGCGGCCGCAGCGCCTCGCTTTCCTCCACGCGCTGCGACCTCCAGGGCCTCGCGCTGCAGCAGCTTCCCATGGGGATGAGTCCTCCGGAGCTCTGGGCTGGTACAGCCTTGCTGAGGACTAGGCGTGAGCTTCCTCGTCTGCCTCCGAGACTCCCAGCTCACCGGCATTTTGCCTCCAAGAAGCTGCAGCCAGTGAGAAAGTTGGAGGAAATCGATACCTGCTGCAGTAATATGGTATTTGCAACCTGCTTTGTCATAAACTGAGTTTAGCGCTGCTAACTCTACAGATTTTCCAGAAATAGAAGAGTATAAACACAATATTAAATGGTCTGCTTTGTTCCTTTGCAGAATGAACAAACCCCCATGTATATCCAGGTTGTAAAGCATCCAGGAAGAAAGTCACTTTTTGTTTGCACTCTTGCAACATTAACCTTGCTTTTTTTCCCTTTGCYCTTAGAGCGGTTTATCCTTTGTCAGACTCTCCTTCTGTGAAGATGTCTCAGTCATCTCCAGCTGATGAAGGTACAACGTTTGAACACCTCTGGAGCACACTGTAAGTGGTGTTTGACTCTTTTTGTTAAGAGTATTTTGAGGTCAAAATAGTTCTTTGCTTTATAGTCTATACCAGCAGATATATTAATACGACCTGAGAGGAGATACATCCCTTCCGTATGCTCTGGTTCTCACATATTCATTCTTCATAGTCAGAATTTTGCTCCAAGACTCAGATATCTTCCTGGACTATCTCATCTGCCAAAATCCTTGTCTCAATGATGGTAGATAGTTCAAAGACTAGAGTTTGCATTTGCAGAAAGCTGGATGCCACATATGGCATTTCCAGGTTTTGGAAGCTGCTTCTGAAAAGAAGAGCCATGCAAAGGCCAGCTATTGTATGTATACTGTAAATGCAAAGCAGCGCTGCAAGCACTGCAAACAGTTACCACAGCATGGCAGTCTTTCTTGCACAGCCAGGATCAGTATCAGGGCACACTCATAGCCTAGGTCCTTCTGTAGGCACAGTGCCCCGGGATGAATGGGGAACAAAAGTCCTCTCTTTCGATGGGTGCTCTCTTCCCAGGGGTGAGGCAAGAGATGCTGGAACCAAGCCTGGGAGAACGCTCTGTCCCCACTCATGACATTATGAAGCCTGCTAGCTGCTTAATTTGGTTGAGTRTCTGATTTCAAAAGTTAAGAATTTTCCTATCACACTGGCATTTTTGCAACTGTTCAGACCTTTGAGCCTGACAGTARCCAAACAGGGAATGAGGGCTGTGCTTCATTTCATCCTCTTTCTCTCTTGTCATCCTATAGCTTAATCATCTCAAGATGACAGACCAGAGTAGCCAAGTAGACAAAACACTTACTAAGTCTCTCTTCATCTGTAAGAGAACAGTTTGKCTGCTTTGGCACGTGACAATAAAGCAGAGGATGGAAGGGGAGCTGAGAACAAGGCAGGGTTCAAGGACACCACAAGTTCTTGGGTATTATAGGTGCAGACTGTGTTAGAGAGATGGAAAACTGTCACACTTTTTTTTTCCCCCCCCCCAGGGAACCAGATAGCACCTACTTTGACCTCCCTCCATCCAATCACACAGGCAGCCATGAGGTCTCCAACCGCACAGAGGTCTCCATGGATGTCTTCCAGATCAGAAGCATGAATGATTCTGTTATGGTGAGTAGCCCCAGGTTGCAAAAAGAAACTTACATCAAAACCCAACTTTCTTCCTCCCAGTGGATTAGGTGGCTATAAACTAGGAAACAAAACAACTGTTTGGTGTCTGATATTCTAAAATAATGACTCTCTTGCATTTTTGCAGCCATGCGGTACAGTGGTCAGGAAAACAGTGGTTGCTTATTGATTGATTTTGCTGGACTGCCTTCAGAAGAGCACATATCTGAAGAGCCTGGCAAGACAAACAGCAAACAACTAAGCTGAGATTACAGCAGCCCCGCTTCTGCCAAGCATGGCTGCAACACGATGCTCTGCCAGATGCAATTTCAGTGTTGGCAGGCCAAGTTTGAACAGTGTTGGAGCAACCCCTCAATGAAATACTCTTTGTGCATGGCAGAGGCAGCTGTCCTCTCCATTCTCCATGTCAATCCAAACAAGAGCAACCATAACAGTCACCTGCAGTGAAGGAAGCYGGGCTGGCTCAGGCAGAGCCCAGCCACCAGCAGACTGCCTGGGCACTCACAGAGCAGCAGGATGGCAGTGTCATGCTCTGCATTGGGCACTCCCTGGCATCCTGCCTTCCTCCTGCTTTTGCTCTGCACACTCAGAGGTGCTGACATAGTCCCTTTCAGGTCACACCTGGTTTAGTTCACCCGGTTGGGGAGAGCTCAACCTCATTCTTTCTCCTTCACTGCCTGTCTGGTTCATGCTTCAGCTGCTGTGCCTGGTTTCAGAGCCACACAGGTGGCACTACTCTCTGCTTTTTTGTTYATCGTGCAACAGTCATGTAGGAGAACTGATTTGTTGGGATTCAAATGCATTGTGCCATCTGCTCCTGCCCTCGAGGTGTGCACAGGCTGCAGGGGTTTTTCTGGACCTGCTGTTTGGGGAGCATGTTAGTGTGTGAACACTTTCCCCAGCAGCAGTGCCTCCCAGGAACATGCCTTCTTCAGCATGAGGCAATCCTGCCCATTTACAAACTCCCTCCACAAAGCTCCTGTTTCCCTCCTTGCCAGCTTGCCTCCCCTCCCCCAGCTCCCCTTTCCCTCCCTTTCTGCCCACTTTCCCTCTCTYCCCAGCCTTTGTCTGCAGCTGGGCAGGAGCGTGGCAGAGGGATCAGCTGGGGCCTGTGCTAATTGCAGAGCTGCCCCTGCGCTGGGGCTGCACTCGCCTTTCTTGTCCTTGCTGCTGTAACCCAAGCCGAGCAGGCGCTTGGGCAGCCTCTGGAAGCAGCAATGCCAGGCGGGCTGCAGAGCTGCAGCAGTCCTTGCTGGGAGCAGCTGAGCACAGAGCCAGCCCAGGGCATTTGATCAAAATAGAGCACCAGTAGTAAATATTTATATTGGCCTGACCACGCTAGTAAATGCTGTGCTGCTGAGCTCAGAGCAAGTCGAGTCCAGCTCTTGTTACCTGTCATCACCAAAACACATAGCACACTGATACATAAAAATAAATGCGTGATCCAGCTGTCCTGAAGGTAAAAAATGAGACCAGAGAAGGAGACAGTTGCTCAGGGCTCGCTCTGCAGCACAGTGCTCAGCCTGGGGGCTCAGCAGAGGGCTGGAGGCAGACATATGGGGAGCTGCAGGGTGCTGGGGCTGCTGCTGCAGAGGTGGGATGCCCTGAGACAGCCTCACACAAAAGCTCTGCTGCTCCCCAAGACTGCACAGTCCTTCCAGGCCCTCCAGGAGGAGTTACTGTATTTAAACATGTGGACAGTTCCTCAGCTATCCCTACTTCTTCCTTGGAGGAGCCAGCTGGTTCACAGAGTTGAAGCTTAGCTCAGCTCTTGATTGCTCTCCACACCTGCACACTACCTTTAAGACATTCACTGCATCTTTGCAAATGTGACAAGCCACTCTCTGAGCCCCTTACCTGCTCTCATGGGCTGACCTCCTCAATGAAGCCTGCCTAACATAAACAGCACTCACTCATCAGTCCAAATTGAAGGGAAATTTGATTGTAGTTAGAGGTCTCTGTGCTGGAGCTGCCAAGTCCTCCTGCTCACAAACCCTTGCCATGGTTTCAGCTCAAGCTGCTAAAATAGGCTCTGTCGTTAYGGTTGTTCAGGTGTGAAAAGCATCCATTAGAGGGGCTCTGCAGGCACCTGGCTTTGCCAGTCCTGGCAGGAGGCTAATTCTGAAGTTAAAGCACCTGAAAAAAGGTYACGTATACACATCCTATGGCAGACCTTCCACTTTCTAGCTTCACTGGTGTTCTGTGCGTGTGCTGTGTGCAGAGCCATGGCAGAGCARGGAGATGCCATGTGCAAAAAGCTTCCTGACAACAGGGAGGACCAACTACTCAAAGCCTTCAGACAGCAGCCCATGTCAAACGAGCCCTGGAATGGGCTCAGCCAGTTGTTCTGTGAACATCTGAGCTTCCCAAACTCAGCTTCCCAAACTATTTCTTTCTTCAGCAAGAAATATTCAATCCAGTGAAACAATATGGAATGATAGGGAAGAGCGTTTCCTAGTGGGCATGAAGCATTTGTCTCTCAACTAGTTGTTCCCTTGCTCCAAACCTCTAAGAAGGTCCTTGATAGCAGTGTGTTCTCCACGCTCTGAGTCGTTCCTGTTTGATGAGTGGATCCCACTGTGCAGCTTGGCCCGCAGCCCTGGCCACCTCTGTGACTCCCKCCTCTCGGGGCATCTTTGTCAGTGTTCCCTCCAGGAGTGTTGGAGCCGAAGGCAGGCCCGGGGCTGGCGACGTGCTGTGATGCAACTGGTGTGCAACCAAAGTGCAGCAGAAGGAGAAGCCAGGGCCCGCGCTGGGGTGCATGGAGGGGAGAGGGATCAGGCAACGGTGCGTGCGGCTCCGGATCACAAACTGCCAGGTTATTTCGGAGCTGCCGAGCGTCCCAGCCGGCGCAAACGTAGCCACGTGTGTCCGCCGGGGCAGGGTGCTGTGTGAGCAGCCTTTGGCTTGCAGGCCTGTGCGAGCAGCTTTGCGAGCGCGGCGCTGCGCCCGCTGTGCCGCAGGACCCCTGCCTCCCTCGGCGAGCCGCCGTGCTACAGCCCAGTCCACCACTGGGCAAGCTGGGGCCTGCCCCGCGTTTTATAGTCATGAGAAAGGGGTGGGCCCAGTTTTGTTGTTGGATGCAGCGAGTTGACAGAACTAAGGGAGATGAAAAAAGCAAAAAAGCCAACAAACTGCACGCAGGTGGCCAGCGCAGCATCCCTGGCGCTGCCTCTGCCTGGCACCGCTCCTCATGGCCCGCTGTTGCATGCTCCTTAAAACCTTGCTTATTTTCTCCATCTCCCCCTGACCCCATGCCTCCGGTGGTGGGAAAGTTCCCAATTATCTATACATTCCAAGAAGACTAAAATGCTGTACATTAGCGACCCAATGCAGCATTATACCACGGTAGGTGCTACTTTTTATTAATGGGGTTTGCCTTGTTATTTCTTATTTGGGGTTGTCCTCTGCTGTCGAAGAAAAAGCTTGGCAAAGATGCGWGGGCTTTTCTGAGCTTTTTTACCCRTTGCTGCTCCAGAARTGTCAGCTATGCGACGCACTGCTGGTTTGGGAAGGGCAATGGGTTTCAAAGCAGGACTGACTGGGCAGCAATCCTTCCTCTGTGCCATCGGATGCACTGAGGATGTGGTGCTCTTTGGGCACCAGGAGGCAACCTCTGTGTTGTGAAAGAGAATCCTGTTGGGGTGGGATGGTTACAGCTTTGGGTGCTTGGTTAAGATCTCCTGTTTCATGTGAATCGTGTGTTGTGCTCTGCAGGGTCTTGGGTGTGATTTAAACCTGCCGGGTAAATGGKGGTCCTAGGTGCCCGCTCAAGGAGGGGCGCTCAGAGCAGGGAGGGCGCAGGGCGCTCAGCCTGGCTCCTGGTGCCCGAGGACTGCCAGGGACAGGGCTGCGGGCACCAGCGCATGGCACAGACCTGTGCTCCCGCGCTGCCGCTTTCCTTCGCAGCGGGAAGGGGCTGGGAGCTGCAGCAAGGACGGATACGGGCAACACGGCTTGTGCCGAGACACCAGGGACCCGCAGCCCTGTGCCCGAGAGCTGAGGGCTTTCACAGCAAAAACGGGTTTCTGTGTCTGCTCCCTGGCACTGGCATACGCGAAACAGAATAGTCTTTAATGGATTTTTATAGGCAAGGAAAGACACTGCTTCCTTTTGCACACCCTTAAAAATAACGAATCTGCTTTCCTTGGGGTGCTCGTCTTCTTTTATTCATTGRTAAAAAAAATAGATGTAGAGATAGACTTCGTTACGGATATAAATAGAAAGGTGTTGTGCTGTATTCTTGACCGCAAATTGTATAATTTCTCCTTTTTGTCTTAAATCTGTGCTGCAAAACACCTCTATATGGGTGGTGCTGTAATCCTGTTCCTTGCAGTATCACTGCTGCAGTCGTGTGAATGCACACACTCGTGTATAAACGTGTAAACATATGTGTGCATTGCTGTGTGTGCACACAAACACTCATGTGCAGGATTGCTCTTTTCAAGGAACACTTCCAAAAGGCAGGCAGTCCTTTCCTATTCCGTTAACAGGGTGAAGCGGACTGCCTATAAAACTGTTAAACATGCAAAGAAACTGTATGAATTGGAGATAAAAAAGGCTGAGGGAAATATTTCCCTCCTGATCCGGAGTCTCAGCATCCACGGACTTGAGAGAATCCGATTCATGTAGTTCAGGTGATAGATTTTCTAAGAACAAAGCGCCCTTTTATGTTGCATTCGGTCTGTGCCRAGGAAGGCTCCAAGAGGTGCACGACAAGCAGAGCGCAACCAGCTCGTGATCAGTGAGCATGTCCGTACCGATGCGATGGCAATACTAAAAATCAATTTGTTCCTCGTTGAGTTAAAGCAATTAGTCCTGAAATAAACCTGTGCTAGTTTGGTACAGGACGTGTTTCACAGGGCTTCCCTGCAGGTCCTTTGCTTGCCCTGGCCGTCGTAGGGAGAYGCAGCAGCGCACGAGCTCTGGATATTCCTGCGTGGGTTGTTTGCACTGCCGGTTAACTGGCATGCACCAAAGAAAGAAGCTTCTYTTGTTGTTGGGGGCTTGTTTGCCACGGAGGCTCCCGTGTTGACAGCAGGAGCCACGCGTTCCTCTCCAAACGGGCACGGCTGCCGTGTGCCCTTCAGCATCTGTCTGCTGAAGTTTCCTGTAACCTTTTCTCCAGGTAAATTCTGGAATGGTGGAAAGTTGTTCCTCTCTGGCAAAGGTATTTACAGAGCAGCAAGAGGGAATAGAGGGGTTTATGCACAWGTTTTAGGGGAGAAAATGGCTGTATTTGTAAAAGCGAGTCGGATCTTGTTCAGCATTCCTCCACTTAGTCACAGACTCCAACGACCTTGTGAGAGATGCAGACAACGGGGGAGCTCCCCTGGAGAAGGATGATTGTATTTAAAGCGTTATATATTATTGCACACGGCTGGGTGAGGTTTGCATCCCAAGTTAAAACACGTCTCCCGATTCCAGCGCCGGGAGCCTCGCGAGGGAAGGTGCTGAGGACGCGCCTGCCGCCGGGTCCCTGCTGCGCCCCTTGCTGCCGAGAGCCGCAGGAGGAGAGCGCGGCCGGGGGCGCAGCGGGTGGCAGCGGCGGGCGAAGGTGCCGGAGCGGCAGGGCGGCACCGCGGGGCCTGCTGTGCACCGGGCCCGGCCGCAGCTCCTCGCTGCACCACGACCAGGAGGGCTTGCTGCACACCGTGGCACTCGCCCGTGGCCCTTCCAGAGGGCTGCTCCCTTGGAAATGCCTGAAGAAAAACCCTCCAACAGGGCCGGAATTGCAGGATGCTGGAAAAAAAAAAAAAATCCACTCTGTGTGCTGTGAGAGGAAGCAACTTGCTTGCTTGAGAAACAGCTAAATGTCATTATTTTGTTTTGGTATTAGTTTATTTCTCTGTCAGGAGAAAATGGATGTTTTTGTCAGATTTTCAGAGGAAAGGTTAAGTATGTTCTAGCCATGATGCTTTTGAGCCCTGCTTTTCCTGGGCTATGCCTGTATAAAAACATGAGTTGCCAGCTCGTGTTGGGAATAGCTGGCAATGGGGGTTTGGAAAGGGAGGAAGAGGCGCRGGTGGCCCAGGCTCCGAGCCGCGCTCCGAGCTGGGGAGCGGGGTGTGCTTGGCGCCCYGTCCGGTCCCGGCCGTGTGCTCTGCAGCTTGGAGGTTTCCCAAACTGGAGCGGGCAAGCTGCTGGCTGCCTTGCAGGATGAGRCACCCGCACGGTGCGGCTCTCCTCGGACTAGTTCGAAACACCGGAGTGCTTGGAGGCATTTGTGGCACCTCAGTGCTGCGGCTCCTGGCCAGCAAAGCCTTCCCTCCGCTTTGGAAAGGGCATCGCCACTGAGGCCCAGCAAGGCCCAGCCTGGCACAGGGGCAGGGAGCCGGTTTGGCCTCTGCCTGTGGCTCCTTATGCTCCGGGGGTGCTGCACCCCGGGTGCAGCTTTGTCAGGGCTCATGTGTGCTGGGAAGCGCTGGCACTGAGCAGTCCCTTGGGAAAACTGCGGTGCTGTGGAGCTGATGGGGTTCTAGGAGGAAATGCAGCTTCACAGGCCAAGTGTCCTGCAGTCATTGTCCAGGCAGTCCTCTGTGCAGGATGGTGATCGGCATTTCCCCTCGGTTCAGCAGGGTGTTTCCCCTATCTTGGCAATTGCCAGAAAATGCCCGTCTGTCCCCAACAGCGAGACAGTCCCCTCGCCAGCAGGAGTGGTGGTTTGCRTGGTCCAGGCTCTAGAAATGCAAGAGCTTTGGCATCTCGCTGCCCTCAGTAAGGATGTAGCTGATAAAAGGGGATGTTTTACATGCATGAAGTTTATCCTTTGCACAAGTGGTGACCTGTTTAAGAAGCACACCAACCCAGAACAACTATTTTGGTTGACTTTCCAGCATGCTGGCCCTTTAAGGGAGCTGTAACAGGACACCTGAAGTCCTGAAGAAGTATAGCCGAGGTTTCCATGTCTCTAAACTGGCTGGTGTTTTCTTTTTTCCCTCCTCCCCTTTTCCCTTCCTCCAGTCCCAGTTTAATTTGCTGAACAACAGCATGGATCAGAGCATCGGCAGCAGAGCAGCCTCCACCAGCCCTTACAGCTCCGAGCACACCTCCAATGTCCCAACGCATTCACCCTACTCGCAGCCCAGCTCTACCTTCGACGCCATGTCCCCAGCTCCCGTCATCCCCTCCAACACTGACTACCCCGGGCCCCACCACTTTGAGGTGACTTTCCAGCAATCCAGCACGGCCAAGTCAGCCACTTGGACAGTAAGTTGCATGTGTTCTTGCCTTCACTAAAGGGAAGTTTTGTAGCGTGGTAAATGTTTTCCGTGGATCTGCTGCGAACACTTGAGTGTGTTGGCGTTGTTTTGTGGAGGGATGCGCCGGGCACGTTCGTGTGCTAGTGCAGGATCAGCTGCAGGATGCGTGGGTTTTGTGCAGCCACAGCCTGGCAGGGCGTTCTGACATCTGGGCAGGCAGCAAAGAGAGTTTCACCTTGCAAAGCAAAATACGCAGGAGCCATCAATGTTTACATTGAGATTTTTTTTTCCAAACGGGAAGGCACAGTTACTGGAATATAACCCCAGGTTAGGAATTTCCTAAACTGTAGGTGAATGTCCCTGAAAATCATAAAGTTGGAAGAATGCACTGCGAGGACTACCTGCTTTGTTCTCATGGTTTTTTCCCTAAGCATTTGCCAGCAGCCGCTGTCAGAGACGGGCTTGTGGGACCTCTGCTCCGACCTACTGGAGCTGTTCTTTGCTTTGCCTTGAATTCTTGCTTTTCATTTATAATCCTTTTCCATTTCGCATATCAGAAGAATGACTTAATCTCTAGAAGCCACAGCAAAACAACAAGGAGATTTGAGTCACAAATGCCTCACTACACAGCATCATGCCCTGTGAGATGTGAGCACAGTAGCCTGCTACTGCTGCGTGGGCCACTGTAGATTTTACTGCATATCCTAAAATCAGAGAGAGGAGTCATCTGTGCAAAACGAGACCTAGGGGTTATTTGGAGAATACAACAGTTCTTYCCTTTTTTTTTCCTTTTAATGGGCAGAGATTCTAAATTCACATGCTGGCTTTTGTGTTCATATAAAGCCGTCCCTGTTTGTTTTTAGGAGCACTTGCAGCTGTTATTTCAGGTAGTTCTGCTGTTGATGTTTCTTTAGCAGTGAAGTGTGCTCCTCAAAGCCTCCTCACCCAGCACCTGCAGACTCCCTTGGGCTCTGACACCCGAATGCCTGGGAGATCTCTCATGTTCACGCCTGAGAAAGGCTTTTCTCCCCTGGGAAATGGTAGCAGAGCCGAAACGCTGAGGTGAGACAGCCGGCACAAAGAGGCAGCAACGGGGTGTCCTTGGAGGCTGAGATTATCACTACCACTAAATTACCATTGAAATTACCGTTATCACTAAACAGGCAGAGCAGACCAGGAGCAATATAGCAGCCCATGGTGCGATAATGACTTTTATTTTTGGAAGCTGATGTGTTTAATTGCCAAGAAAGTCCTTTCCACTGTCGACAGAAAGCAGCTYTGGATGCTTATGTGCAGCAACCACCACGGTGTGGCCTCCCGCCCTGTCCCAGCGGTGCTGGTTGYTGGTCGCTCCGGCGGGAGCAGCGGAATCTGCGGCTGGTTTCCTAGGGGAGAGCGGCTCTGCAGCAGCTCCTGCCGCCCTTTGCCGTGGCTCCGCAGCTGAGGAACCTTCCTGAGGAAGCGGCCGGCAGGCAGAGGAGGGAGTCCCTGCGAGCGCCGCGGTGACAGCGGCTGGGTACCAGGAGCGCGGCTAACACCGATCCCGGCCGGAGCAGCACGTGTGTCCGGCAGACAGGAGGTCCTGCTGAAACCCCTGGGACAAAGCTGCCTGGGGTGAGATCCAAAGCAGGAGGCTGTGCTCRGTGGCGGTGGTTCTGCAAAGCAGCAACATCTGAGTGGCAACCAAACACACGCTCATGCGGTGGGTCTGGTCCTGGCTGTCCTGACGTGGGAGGAAGAGGGCTGGGAAGTGTCTCATGTTCTCACACTTGCTGCTGTCGCTAGCTGGAAATGCTTGAGGGTCATTTTGTGGTGGAGAGGGGCCACAGGCCGCACTCCTGCCCCATCCGGAGAGCACAGCCAGGCTGTGTGCTGCAGAATACCTGCAGGACACCCCTCTGGACAGGRTCTATTCACACGTGTCAGAACAGGGAGAGGACTGATGGAAAAATACACTCTTTCCTTCCCGTTATTTAGCAGTAAGAAAATAGCCCTCCCTTAGCCAGATGATGAATTTTGCAGCTGCAGTGAGTAAATCAAAAAAGCCACTGAGGCCTTTTTGGCCCTTGTCTCTGGGCCAGCCAAGGATGGAGCAGCAGGATGCTTCCCCAGCCAGGTCCCCATCATGAAGCAGTGAGTGACTGCGCTGGTCCTTTGCTGGAGCCATCCTCYGTGGGGACGCACTGTCCTGCTGGTAACTGCTCAGCCTGGAGATGCCCRCTGGCTTCAGGGACCTGCTGGTGCTGTTGCTGGGAGAAGTTCAAGCACATTCTTGTTCTGCTGGTGAATCCTGTGTGGGACGTGACCCACACAGCACTGGCTGCAGTCTAAAACCTACTCCTGAGCATATGTTGCTCCATGTACAACAAGCAATTGGTTATATTTGGTGGGAGAAGGCAATTCACTCTGTTACAGCAGAGCAGGGACCGGGGTCTTTTCAGGACTCCAATTATACTGAGCTCAAGACTGCATCAGCATCACCCTGTGCCAACTGTGAGTCCTTCTGCTTGGGGCTGTGTAATCGGGAGGGAATGCTTTCATCCTCGAGCCTTGCAGCAACATCTCCTCTACGCTGGATGGCCAGGGCCACTCCGACACTGCCRCCCTGGCCCCACAGCTCGTGGGGGCACCCGGCCCTTGGGACAGGCTCCGCTCTAGGCCGCCCTAAGCAGCTGCAGCAGCTGCAGCCCCGCAGTCGGAGCTGAGAGCTGGTGCTTCTGAAGGCTCTCGGAGGGTGGATGCCACCTGGGAAATGATTCAGCGCACAGAAATGAAGTATCCGAGCCCTCCTCATGTTTGACAGGGCAGTTCACGCGACGCGTGGATCTCTGAACCACAGGGCCGGCCGGGGCTGTTAGGAATTCCCTCGGAGGAGGCCGACTGCAGGACTAGCATCCATCAACCTGAATTTCCACATCCTGAACTTGAGCACAGCAGAGAATGGAAGTGCATGAGTGGTTTCTTGCACACTGGAAAGTGCAGGACTTGAAAGAGCAGCTGCCTCCAGAGCTCCGGAGCGCATGTGAATTCTCAGACACTTTGAGGTTGCTATCTATACAAAGCAGGATCATCCCGCCTGGACAGTGGGATTTGCTCCAGCTTCTCCTGACGGACACCTCTTGCAACTGTGGAACTTGCTATTGCTGCTGAAAGACAGAGCTGCCTCCCTCTTCCCTTCAGCTTGAAATCCAAATGCTGTATTACCCAGCTAGGAACTGCACCCGAGAATGTGTATCTGTCTGCAGGAAAGAGCCAGAGTTGCCAAAAGAGCCCTGTCCCGTAAAGTAATGTAGGTATTTGATGCTCTCAGATCCAGAGCAAACCTGAAAGAAACATAGTTAAACACAAAGAAGAACCAGGAGCTGTTTAATGTTGCAGCATGTACTGAAGAAAACAATATTACGCCATTAAAAATTAAACCTGCTACATTTAAAAATCTGTCATGGTTAAGAGGGAATGAATTCAGAAAAAAAAGCATATGTCAGATACTGTCAAGTCAGTCAGTATGTGTGCAGTATGATTCTCTGTATAAATAATGCTTGCATATGGTAATGCAAGTGTACAAGTAAGAATGTGAAGTGCAGGCACGTGGCAAGGAAAGCKAAAAGTTCTGGTCAGTAGGGCTAGGAACAGTAACGCTGCACCTTTGGCAAGGGCAGRTACAGAAACCATCCTGCTGCATCAAAGACATGGACTATTCCRTTCGGCATTTTGAAAGAAACGACAAGAAAAAATACTTCTGTTTCATTAGTAGCTGAGGAAACCTCATGGCTTTTAAATAGTTTAAGGATAACTGCACCAAATAATCTACAGTAAAAACACTGAAAGAGCTCACTGTGAATTCCCCGGAATCAGCCTTGTCCTTTCAGAGCACTGGAGAGCCCTCCAAGATGAGGGGAGAGGACTGTGCCAGAGCAGGGGGTCTGTGGGGCTCTTACAATCTTGGGGCAAAACATCCAGAGTGCAGCCAATGAAGAACTGGAAGTGGGATGCATAGGCAGTGCATCCCAACCCAAATGATTCTATGGAAATAATCTTGTCCAACTCTTTGACATAGTTCTTAGACACAGTCGTAAGCTTTGATTATAAAAGTGTGTAACTAACCTAATAGACTCACCTTTTCTCATGATTTTAGTTGAATCCCTCTGGACACTCCAGAGGAGAGTCAGTTTTATCCATACTCAGGATAGCACAGTCCCCAGCTGGCAAAGGAGATGCAGCACATCCCATTTGCAAAAGAATGCTCCCCAGTCCCACGGGACCCTCTTGGACACCCCGCTGTGCAGTGCCATTACCCATAGTCTTGAAAATCTAAGAAGTAATTGTTGGTTTAGTTTGCAGGTCAAACATAAAACTGTAAATAGTGTTGGAGACAACTCAGCTGAGCCACTGGTGCAGACAGCGCAGCACAGACATGAGGAACATGGGTTGGTGCCACCTTTAGGACRGGAGACGTTGGAGGAGCCCAGGGCTCATGGTCAAAAAATTTTTTGGATATGAACTGCCTGGACAATGGAGCAACAGGAGTCCAGGCAGGAGAGCTGGGGATGCGAGTTTGCCTCTGACTGTGTCATTCCTGAGGCCATTGCCTTAGAGAATGCAGTGCTTGTGTCCACCCTTCAAAAGTATGTTGACAAAATAGAAAAGATGGGAGAGGGAGATCCAGAGAAGATGAAAGATTTGGAACACATGCCTTGTAGGGAGATACCAAAGGACCTTAGTGTGTTTAAGTTCTCTGAAGGAAGAGGGGCTTGATACAGTCTGCGAGCACCTACATAGGAGATGATTTCTGATAGCAGGCAGCTCTTTAATCTAATAGAAAAAGACATAATGAGATGCAGTGCTTGGAAGCTGCAGCCAGGCAAAATCAGACTAGAAACAAGGTGGAAATTCTTTAACAGTGAGGGTAATTAGCCATAGGAACAATTTACCAAGGAATGCGGTGGATTCTCCAGCTCCTGAAGTATTTAAATGAGGAGTCGACATATCTGTCTAAAAGATAAGCTT